ACAGCGACCATGGTGGGCTCCGCATTGTCAAACCACTTGGCTTCTGACTCGAACGGGGCAGTTGGGTCTTCATTCAGGTGGCGCCACCATCAACCATTTCAACGCTTGGTTGTGTTGCTTAAACGAAGTGCCGAGCCTCTCTTCATAACTCAAAAAATAATTAACATCAAACTTCTCAAAATCCTGGGGCCCGCGCGCCGCCGCCGCTGCGGTGGCGCGGGGCTCCTGCGCCGCAGGCGCGGCTCGGGATCCCGACCCCTCTCCTGAAACTGTGTTCCCAGGTTCTGGTGAGTTTCGGAGGGCAGCCCTCACGAAATTATCGAATTCGGGCATGCCGAGACCAGGGGCGCGGGGGCTCACAACGCTAAGCGCGGCGAAGCGAGACGGCCGTTGAGGCGAGACCGCCGCCGCTGCTGCGGCGGCAGGGCCATCGCGCCATTTGGCGTCCTCCGTTGGCGTGTTCCCGTCTTGTCGCCACTCTCTCCAACCCCACGCTGACCAATCATGGCCGTCCTCCCAGCCACGCCAGCCGCTGCTGCGGCTATCCCACCATCCTTCCGCGCCACCCCATGTGTATCCGCCTGCATCGCCCATTGCAAGACGATGGCGCAGGCGCGCGTTAGGCCGCGACGGGCCCGGCTGCACCGTTGCTCGCGGGCGATCCCACGGGCGCGGGATGGTTTGAGCATAGCGGCGAGGGACGACGCGATGTGATTGGACGGCAGAGAACTTGAAAGGAAGGGGGGTTGGAAACGGAAGAACGAAGTGGACGAAGAGCGGAAATCGAACCAGAGGGGGGAGAAAAAAGAGCGGAAGATAATGAGGACATGCAGACGAAGGAGAGTGACGAGGTAGATGGCGGGGCAGAACGGCAACGGAGGATAATGTGGTGGAAATTGTGAAAAGGACGCATGGAAAAAAAAAAAAAAAAAAAAAAAAAAAAAAAAAAAAAAAAAAAAAAAAAAAAAAAAAAAAAAAAAAAAAAAAAAAACACGACGAGGATCACAGACGCAAAGATGATGAGCGCAGTGGTAGCATGACATATCCGAAATCAAGAAGCAGGATGAGGAGGAACGGGATGACGAACAACTCTGTCACAGAGGGCCTCCAAACGCACCCCCTCTGTCACAGAGGGCCTCCAAACGCACCCCCTCTGTCACAGAGGGGCAAAATGATCACTTTAATGCGGCTTCTGGATTATCGTTCCGAGGGAGGTGGCCCCGCGTGCTGACTGTGAGGCTCCTCGACCCCGCGGCCCGCGGCTCCTCGCCCGCAGCCGACAAAAGAGAGATCCTCTTCCACCGCGCGCGCCATCTGCGGGATGAGGTGCGCGAGGTGCACGCGGCCGCAGTGTCAGCCCGAGTGTCAGCCGCCCTCCTCCGCCGGATGCCGCGCGAGGGCGGTGAGAGGCGCGCCCGTCTGGACTGGCGCTGTGCCCGGCAGCAGCCAGGCGGGCCGGGCGTCGCCGCGAAGCGAGGCCGAGCAAGGTAACTAACGCCGCCGACGTCCACCCGACGCGCCAGGGCCGCCCCTCCCTTGCGGCGATGGCGGGAGCGCCGCGCTCCGGACGCTGTCCCGCGCGAGGCGGGGCAGTGCGCTTCTGCAAGCACGCGCACGACGCATGCGCAGGGAGTCAATGCGACCCACGTTGGCTCCAACCCCGGTGTGGCGCTCGCGCGCGCGCGCCCAAGGAGTCAGCAAGCACACGGCATTCCAGCAAGGTGAATCGTGGGCATCGGTCGCCTTCGCGGGTTGGGGCTGAACCTGCGCCACTCCATAACTGATAAACGCATGTCGGCCTTCCGCGCGTCAGGGTTGGCACAGTTGTTTCGGTTGTGTGTTTCGACACTTCGGTTCGATGTGCACACTGAAGCGGCTCGCGTGTCAGGACTGACACGTGGCAGGACTGCAGCGGTCCCGTGTCAGGAATGAAGCTCGTGACGTGTCAAGATTGATACGCGGTGGCGGCGCTAGCGCTTCTCAGAAATGATACGCGCTGGCAGCGGTGCCAGGAGAAGGGGGGAGAAAGATGAGGAATAATATATGCAGGAGGAAGACGAAGAGGCGGAATGACAGGAGGACACGGAGGAGGACGCGGAGGAAGAAGGGGAGGGGGAGAGGGCGATGAGGACGAGGAGGAGAGGGATGAGGAAGGGGGGACATGATTCATCCGGCCCCCCGTCCAAGCCTGCCACGAAACTATTCAGCTTGTGCTGCTGGCCCCCCTGATCTGGACGTCGGGGGCTCCGTAATTGTTCTCGTCCTCGTCCTTCTCCCACCCATGACTCCCATTCTCTTCTGGGGCCTTCTTGGGACCTCCCTTCGGCCGTCTCGAGGCCTTCGAAGGCGTTCTTAGGACTCTCGCGGGCTCTGCAGCAGCCCGATCAAATTGTCAAGGGCCCCATTCGACCAACGCTGGGATCGCGTAGGTCGTCGCGGGTTCATTGTGATGCCCTCGTGAGGCCTTTTGTCGCTTCCTCGAGCACTCCCAGAGCACCTTCGGAGTAATTCTCGCGTTTGTTTCGTGAGCTCGGGACACTGTTGGGAACTTGCCGAGGCGGGTTCGGGCAAAATGTCGATGGATCGATGGATCACGGAGGCGTAGGGCCGTGGCCGTAGATGCACCTTCGGCAAGTGCTACAAGACGCCCAGCGCCAGCTACAAACGTCATCGTCGGCGCCAGCTACGTGAGGTTGCCCCATGCAGTCACCAAGACAACCAAATGCAAGGGCAACACCCGCCTACGTTTTGGCAGCGCCCAGGGGGCGAGATCTTCAGCACGTATGACTACCTACCCGGCCACCCCAAACTGACCCAAAGACCCACATTTCGGTTTGGGGGGCAGGGGGGGGTACGGGTTCCGCATGTGTTTGTTCGACGTTATGTTTCCCGACGCGCCCCCCCCCCAGGGAATGGCGGGCAGATTGGGGCCTTCGGGCTGTTTTTGGGGGGCTTGGTGGGCGGTGAACGCAGCCATCAGGGCACCGTTCCCTCGCAGCCGCGACGCCGTCGTCGTCGCCGAGGGCGGCGGGCGCCCCGGGAGGCCGCAGCGTGTGCCGGCCGCCGCGCGGCGCTGCCGCGCGTCCGCAGGTTTGCGGCGGCAGGCGTGCCTTGGAGCGGTGCGCAGCTGCGGATGCCCGGGCGTCTTCCTCGCGTTCGGCTGGCCCCAACAGGGGTCCAGCCGAAAGGGGGCGGTGCAATAGACTTGGGGCAAGTGTCCTGCAAGTGTACCGCGCTGGAGAAGTGTCTTGCATTGTAGTGCATCTAACGTACTGCCCTCGAGAATCCAGCAACACATTTGCCACCCGGAGTGTATTGCACGCCCCAAATCTGTTGCAACCCACAAATCTATTGCACCAGATCTATTGCACCACCCCCTTTCCGCTGGACCCCTTGTGGGTCAGCCAGACTACGGCGCGACAGCGTGCCAGGGTGGGGCATGGCATCACAAGGCATGATCAACCGCGTGGATGGTTCGACCTTGAACGAGCGGCGGCTTTCGATAGCGCAGATCGAGCCATGCTGGTCGATCCTGAGCCACTGGCGGCGTATTAAACCCTGAACGTCTGCGGCGGGGTGGCTGCTAAGTCGGCGCGGCACGAACCTGCCGTGCTCCGCCAGGTCCCGAAATTGAGGCGGCGGCATGCAGGAACCCGCCACCCCAGGCCTCCCGGGCCCAGAGAAGGGCGGCAACAAAGGCATCGGATGCCATAGGTGCAGGGCGGGAGGCAGGCTCCAGTGGAACGCGGCATGGGAGCACCGGAGGATCACCAGGGTCCAGAGAGCATGGCAGATGATGGGTCAAATTTCCACCACCGCCACCATATGCAGGACGGGAGAGAAGGGAGGATGGGGAGGTCCTCCTCCTCCTCCTCCACCTCCTCCTCCTCCTCCACCTCCTCCTCCGCCTCCTCCTCCTCCTCCTCTTACTCCTCCTCCCTCTCCCATGGTAGTGGAGGTGGGAAATCTGCCCATCAGCAGAGGCATCGGATACCCACCGTTCCAGGTCTTCCAGGTCCACCAAGCGTGGTGGTGGCGTGTGATCCCTGCTGAGTATGGTCGGGAACTTTTGGACATCATCGTGTCGCCCGGCGGCCCTGGGGACACGCCATGACTTACAAATGGATAGCGTGTCGCTCTGTCCGCGGGGCGGGACGCTGGACGTTAACGCCTTGGTTCCAGGAAGCGGACAGCGTGTCACGCCGAAGCGTGGTGGACCAAAACCAGCGGAGCGACACGCTATCGAGCAGTTCCTGACCGTAAGCCATAAGTGTGACACTGGCGTGCGATTCCTACTACGCAGGTCTCTCCGTGCGACTCCCACCACGTCGGACATGTGCTAATGAGACGTACGACGACACGTCCACGGGCACGCCCCCTGACGATTCTCGAGGCACCGTCGCACAGAATCTCACGTGCACGCACGGCTGCGAAGGCCAGACCGCTTACGGCTGACGGTCGGGAACGTTTGCTTAGCGTGTCGCCGCGGCGGCCCCGGCGACACGCTATACCTTGCGAGCGGGCAGCATGTCGCTCCAATCCGCGGGGCATGAGGCTCGGGAAAACCCGAGACTTGAACGCCTGGAGACCGCAAAATGGATAGTGTCCCGCCGAAGCGTGGTAGGACAGAACCGGCAGCGCGACGCGCTATCCAAAAGTTCCCGACCGCACACTGACAGTTGCGAAGGCCAAACCGCGTAGAACTCCGCGCACCAACATCTACGCTTGCGGAATCCCCTCAGCTTGAAATTCCGAGTTCGGTGCTCCAACTAGCTGACACGTCAACGGGCCATCCGGCCAGCCACATCCACTCTACCAGCCAACCATCCAGCCAGCCAACCAATCGGCCTACCAGCCAGCAGCAAACCAGCCAATCAGCCAGTAGCTAGCCTTCAATCAATCGGCCAGCCAGCGAACCAAGCAACCAGCTCGCAGACCAGCCAGCCAGCCAGCCAACAAATCAAGGACGGAAGGCTGGCGGCGAAGGACGAAGCCCTTACGATGTCCTCGCCGTCCAGCTGGACCATAGAACGCGGTCCAACGCGCATTACCACGGCACCGTCCGGGTTGTCCCACGTGCCTGCTGGATCTAAGGGCACTTCGCGGACGCCGCTGCCCACGAAGCGCATACAGGATGCTGCGTGCTGCTTGTTGTCGGGTAGGTTCACCAGGTTCGCGCCGAAGACCAACATGGCCGCCTGCTCACCACCAGACTCGGCCGTCTGGAGGCCCAGAAAATTCTGCGCCCTCTGCTTCCGCATGTGGTCGCGCAGCGTCTCGGTCGCCCTGGGCCACTCCCCGTCCAGCAGGTAAGTCCAGATGTCTGGGAACCACTCCACCACCTCGTCGGGCAGGTGCTCGGCGAGCAGCAGGATGGACCCGTCCTCGCCCCTCCGCGTCATCGCGGAAGACGGCCCCGAGTTCATCGCGTCGAGCAGCGACCCGGCAACCCTGTCCCGGAAGCCCGGATTCTCCGCGGCGTTCGCACTGAACCGCTGCCCGTCCAGCACGCAGACGAAGTCCGCGGGCTCGGCCTCGCTGGAGGCCGCCGCGCCGCCCCCGCCCTCGCCGGCCCGCCGCACCCCCGCCGAGCGCCGCGCCGCCCCCGCCGCGCCGCCGCCGGGAGCCGCCGCGCCCGCGAGCTTGCCGGAGCAGTGCTCCTCCTCCGAGCTGTCCTCGGGCTGCGGCGCGTGCACCCTCCTGGGAAAGGGCATCCACTGCCAGCCTGGAACCTAGCCCCATCCCTATGTGCTGGGCATCTCCTCGTCACGATGCCAAGCTTGGGGGTTCCCTTTATATTTTTGGAGGGCGGATCCCCGAGGTTGCCATCGCCTCTTGGCGTGTCAATCTTCGGGAGAGGGATACGTTCGAGGCTGGTACATCAAGCCGGCAGCCCGGGCAGCGGTCGGCACCCATGGGGGGGGAGGGCCCATGGGGCCCTGGGGCCCGGGCCACGCTCGGAGGAGACGGGGCACGCGTCGGGGCAGGGGGGCGCGCTGCGAGCGCTACGGCTCGCACGCGAGCGCCAGCACGTGCGGGAGAGGCCCAGGCACCCCGTCCCTACGCGCGATCGCTGCCCCAGACTTCGTGAGCAGAGGGGGCGTCACAACCCTCTCGGACGAGCAGCTCCAGACCCCCACCGGGCCAGCCACGCGAGGGCGGGCCCTGTGCGGCGACCCCATACTGGAATCCTCCAAGGCAGCTCCACTCGGACCCCCCCTCCACATGTGACCCGCCCCCGCACTGATGTGGAATCCGGAATACCGCTACCCAGGGGGCGAGGAGGGGCGCGACCCGGGCAACACGCGCCAGCCGATCCCTCCGATGTGACGTTGCGCAGACATTGCGGCACCGCCAAGCAATCACCACCAGAGCCCCGGAGCACCATCTCTCTGCTTCGGCGGTGGACAAACCTCCCTTTAGCAAACCTCCCCTTAGTGAAAACGGCCTGGGACCGAAACCGACGGACCTGGACCCGCAAAAATGGCGGCCGCGACGGCCCCTCGTGAACCGAAAATGGCCAATTCCTCAATCGACGTGTCAGCGTAGGAGGTCTATCCACCTCCGACTGCTGCATTCTTCGAGCCGGATCGATCTGCGAGGGCCCTGGGGCCCGAAACGGGGCGCAGAAGCCCAGTGTGAAAAAAAACGCACCGCCCGCCCAGAGCTCAGTGACGGCCGTGGCGCGCCAGAGGATCCGGAAGCTCGAACTCGGACGCCTATACCTGCAGGTGGTGCGCGGCGGCGGGGGCGGCCCGCAGGCGGGCGCCGTGGCGCCAGAGCGTGCAGCGACCTCGACACACGATGGTCTACAGGGCAGTTTTTTTATCATCGAATTTTAAAAGTATATATAGGATTGTTTAATACATGATTAATGTATGAATAAATGTATACATGAACTCACCGTTGGTTTTAATACTAACCCCTGCATGTTTAATACATGATCCGCACGCGGAGCATGTAATAAAAACGGCACTGTATTGACAAAACTGCACTCAGGCATTGCCCAGTCAATTGTTCTGGCAGCTTTGTCGAGTACCCCAGATGTCACCACAAAAGCGGGGTGGTCTGATTTGGGATGGGGTCTGACGTCATTGAGCTGCCTTGGAGGGTCCCAGTGGGTCAGGACAACAGGCCGCCCTGTGATGGCTGGCTTGTGAGGGGAGTCTGAAACTGCCCGGCTGGCTGTGACCCCCTCCCTCTCAGCACGACATCTGGATTACAATCAGGTCGAGCACGTCCGTCTTCGGGCCGATTCCGCAAGTCAGAAAGTATCCAATACTATTCAACAGGGCACGACAGATCGACCCCAGGCTGCTTTGTTTCCTACGCCCTGCCCGACGGAAGAGTCACGGCAATATCCTGGCCGGGCCCGTGCCGCCGTCAGCGCCGCCGCCCCTGCCGCTGTGGGCCGCGCGCGCGCCGCGGCGCCCGCCCTCGGCCGGGGCCCCGCCGCCGGGGCTCCGCGGCGTGGGCGGGCCCCGGGGCTGCGCCGCCGCCTCGGGCGAGCCGAGGGACCCGCCCATGGAGGCCGCGGCCGCGGCTGGGGCGGCGGGGCCCTGCTTCCCGCCGGCGGCGCCGCGGTCCTCGCGCCGGGGAGCCGGCTCTCGGGCGTCGAAGGTCGACCGGGCGTGGTGCGGCCTGGTGTGTCGGTGTGCGCCGGTGGGGGGGCGCCCGCGCCGCCCATGCCACTGCTCCTCGTCCTCCTTCGCCTCCTCCATGGCGTTGGCCGGACGGAATGTGTGAACATGTGGCCTCCTCCTGCTGCTCCTCCTCCTCCTGCTCCTCCTCCTCCTCCTCCTCCTCCTCCTCCTCCTTATCCTCCTCCTCCTGCTCCTCCTCCTCCTCCTCATCCTGCCGCCACCCGAAGAAACACCAACTACGGCAGCTGGGCGTCGCTGGATGGGGGGGGGGCGATAAATGAGGGGGGAGAAAGGTCCACTTTTCGAGCCCCAGAGGCCACCTTTTGGGCTCTCAAGAGCCCCTTGAAGGGCCCTGAAGGGCTCCTTTTCTGCAGCCTTCGCCGCCCCCCGCAGTCATCGTCCCCCATGATGACGCGAGAGCCAAGGCAGACCTAGTTTAGTGAGTCCGGCCACCTCCTTGGGACTGCGAGACCCAATCACTAATGAGCTCCCCCTGCCCAAGGTCCTGGCCACACCCGGAACTCCTGAGAGGCCTGCAGCGAGACGACCAAGGGCCAGCGAGCCCGGTCAAGGGGCCAATCAGCCAGACTACGGCAGGTTGCGCCTGGGTTTCAGCGGAGTGTGGCTGGATGGAGCGAGATTGCCAGGGCAAGCGGGATTGAACCCGACTGGGCCAGGCTCCGCCGACCAGGGATCTATCAGTGCCGATTTAGAGCTGCTTCCGGGAGGTGCACCCCATCTTTCGGGTTGGGCGGGGGAGGCATTGGCGGCGCGCGCCGGGGGGAGGGGGGAGGGGCGGAGGCCTCTTAGAAGGAGGCCGAAGGCGCCCAGGGGCAACCAAGGAAATAGACACAAACCCCAGGAGTGCCCCCTCCCTATACTTCCCAATACTGTCATACAGGTTCCTTGGCATCGACCACTATTTGTGTCTGTATGTTGTCTCCCTCCTGAGAGGCTGCTTCCTAGAAGCCGCCAGCATTCCATCTACAGACAAAGCCAGCGCCCTCTGATAATCAGAGGTGCTTAAGAAGCCATCCCCCCTCCCCCTACCCCCCTTCCAAACGTGGCCAGAAAGCATACGAACGTATCTGGCGAAGCGCACGTCCACTGGCGAAACCGACTGCGGACTGCACAGGCAAACTGACGTGCCACTGTCGAGTTCACCGGCACAGACTTCCTCGGCCGCCTTGTCTGGGCGGGCGTTCCCTCGACCCTCAGATCTCACGCTGCCAGGAGACGGCAGCATCGCACAGAAGTCACCACGACGTCCCCAAACCCCACCTGTCTGCGCCACGCCTCGAGCCGCATCCCTCCGTGAGGCTCCTCGGGCCCCAAGCCCGGCGAAAACGCCCGTCGCGACGACGACACACACACACACACACACACCGCCACCGCACGAAGACCGGCCCGGCGAGGGGGGCCCAGTCGCCGGGTGCGGAGGCGGCCGCAGCGAGGCGGCCGCCCGAGCGCTGCGAGGGAGCAGGAGGAGGAGCAGGAGGAGGAGGAGGAGGAGGAGGAGGAGGAGGAGGAGGAGGAGGAGGAGGGGGAAGGGGGGAGGGGGGGACAGATGGGGATGGGGCCATATGGGTGCGTGTTGTCGCCTGGGGGTCTCGGCTCGACCGTGAGCCTCCCGTGCAGCAAGCCGCGCCCCTGCCCACATGTGGCCGGTCGACCGCCCTCCCTCCGACCCTCCTGCGGTTCCGGGCGTGCGCGGTGGAACGGCTGCGACGCCCGGAGATCCAGAGGAACAAAAAACCAGCCACACGTAGACGTTGGGTGAAGTCGGGCGTGTCCCCCTACAGGGGGGATCTTTGACGAAAAATGCAAAATACCCCCCAAAATAGTCAAACAAAAATTAAAAGAATAGACAGGGAACTGTTTTTGGAATATGTTTGATCTTTTGGGGGTATGTTTGGGGTATGTTTGATTTGTCGTTAAAAAGCCCCCTGTATGGGGGACACGCCCGACAGAAGTCTAGAGGAACAAAGAACCACCCACACGTAGACGTCGGGAGGTCCGCGCTGATTCCTCGGATCTGCGCCGAACCCCGCTCCCGGGCGCGCGGAGCGCGCAAGGAGCGGCGCAAGGAGCGGCGCAAGGAGCGGCGCGGGGCCCAGCGCGGATCCAAGAAATCCGCGCGGAGCGCCAAAAGTGCATGTTTATGGCGCTTCTTTTCCTCCGGGTTATGGGCGTGTGTTGTTCGTTCGCAACGTCGCAGAACAACTGCAACGTCCCTCGGATTGGACGCCCGAAATGGGTACGGAGAGAATGGGTACAATGCCCAACAGCAAATGTTGTCCAAAACCGACAGCGGCCGCTGTTGGACAGGAAACTCTGTGTCTTCAGTGGACAGCGCCCGCGGCGGCGCGGACAGCGAGTCCTGCTCAGAATGAACAGGAACTGCTGTTGGGTATCGTACAGTGGAGACCCATGCAAAGAAATACCCTGCTTGCCTCCAGGGTGCCCTTGGTTTCTTGGGTTTCGATGGTTTTGCTGTGAAAGCGCGACGTTCCTACAACAAAAATCAATGGACGTCCTGGGGTCTCAGGGTTGGGTTTCTTCTGGAAGGTTTCTTGTGGACTGGCCTCCACTGTACCCATTCTTTCCGTACCCTTTTCGATCGTCCCGACTCGATCGGCGCCCGATCCTTCGGCTCGCAGGCCGCCGCGCCGGGGCCGATCTGTGCACCGGCGGGGGCGCCGCGCATCGGCGGGCGCGCGGCGACGGGCGCGCGGGGGCGGGCCGGCTGCCAGCAGACGAGCGGCGCGGCAGGCGAGCGGCGCGGCGCGGCCTGGAGACGTTCGGTGGCAACTCACGGGAGCCTCCCATCCTTCGTGTCGGCTCCTGCGAGTCGACGCCTAGTCGACGCGAAATCGACGCCAGTCGAAGCTAAATCGACGCTACTCGACGCTAACCGACGCTAAATCGGCGCTATCCCATCGACTCCCACACGCTAATCGACGC